CATGCTACAGTATATTTAGATTATATACTTTATTATATTTCATACTACAGTATATTTAGATTATAAATAGCATTCAACACCAGATGATCTGTGTTTTGATCCTGTACGCTCCACACTGGTTGGTCGTCATTATCTACATCGTTTTTATGTCTATATTCTGATTTACTTCATTTTATATTTTGCTTTGTGTGTTACCTGTTGTTCTGTCTGTACAGCACTTTGATTGGCCTTGTCGCCGTTTTAAGTGCTCTATAAATAAAATGGTATGGTATATACTTTTTATATTTCATGTTATATATTTAGGTATACTTTATATTTCATACTGCAGTATCCATTTATATTATATACTTTGTAATATTTCATACTACAGTACATATTTAGATATACTTTATATTTTGTATTATATATTTAGATTATATACTTTATATTTCATACTACAGTATATATTTATATTTTACACTATTATATTTCATATTACAGTATATATTTATATTTTACACTTATACCTGATCTTGTCATGTGAGCCAATAATGGCCAACTGATGTGGGAACAGAGAGAGGATAAATGGACTGGAGCTGATGAAGAGATGGGAAACAGCTGAGCTTAAATAGGCTGCAGGTGTGAGTGGGCGGAGCTTAGGCATAAGAAGCTGAACTGAGGGGAGGTAGTGCCTGACATGAACAGATTAAAACAAAATAACCAGAAGAATCACAAAACATACGTGATCATGAAACACCAACAGAAAACAGATCCTGACTGTAGAGTTTGGATTAATTTTTTTTAAAGTGGCAGATTTCAGCTGATTAAAATATCTACTGGTTTATGGTTGACCTGATTCTGACTGGACTGGCTAGTCTTAAATAAAACAGATCAGAGCAAACCCACTTCAATTTAGACCTCCGTCAGCTCAGACTAGCCATTAGTTCATCGGTTCTGTCAAATTTAAACTGTGGTTCTCCAAACTGGATTCATTTAGACCTCCGTGTCTGGTTTGTGTCAGATCCCCGAGTACTAGAGTTTATTTGGCAGCACCAAATCTTTATTTCAGCACCATGAAGAAAAATGTGCCTTTTTAGATTCAGACCCAAAGAGTTCACACTTATCAATAATCAGTTTTATTTCAGCCTCTAGGAGCACAAACCAATGCTGGTCCTTGAAGGTTGAGTCAGGAAGGACATTTGACAAAACACTTTCCAAAACAAGATGCAAGTTCATCCAAGTTGACATCGAGATATGTGATGAGAACAGGGCACACAGGCGGAAGAGAATTTGGAGAGGTGGAGCTATGCACTGGAACGAATAGTGATAAAGATGTCAAGAAGAGAGTCTAGGAGTGATTTGTCACAAAAGAGTGGCAGCAAAGGTTAAAGGAAATGTTTACAAAAGTGGTGAGACCAGCTATGGTGTATGGTCTGGAGACAGAGACAAGGACAAAAAGACAAGAACCAGAACTGGAAGTGGCAGAAATTAAGATGTTGAGGTTCATCTTAGGAGTGACAAGGATGGATAAGATTTGGAATGAGATAATCAGAGGTACAGCACAGGTTGAACAACTGGGAGATAAATTTAGAGAGACCAGACTGAGATGGTGTGGACATGTCCAGAGGAGGGACAGTGGTTTGGACATGTCCAGAGGAGGGACAGTGGTTTGGACATGTCCAGAGGAGGGACAGTGGTTATATTGGTAGAAGGATGTTGGAGAAGCAGCTGCCAGGAAAAAGATAGAGGAGATTTATAGATGCAGTTAGAGAGGACATGGAGGCAGTTTGAGTGAGGACAGAGGACAGAATGAAGACAAAGGAGTAAGACTCATTGTGGAGACTGCTGAAGAGGGAAAATCAGGAGAAGGAACAAGAACAACAAAACGAACAACAACAACAACAACAACAAAACGAACAAGAACAAGAACAAAATGCGAACAACAAAATTCCGGAGTTTGTAAAACCTGTAAACTCAGTGATGTTGAACTTTTAACATCTTAAAATCTTCTTTTACAGATTCTAGTGCGTTGAGTAAAAACTGAAATGCTCCTGAAGGTCGGGTCTCTGCAGGTCGGGTCTCTGCAGGTCGGGTCTCGTGCAGGTCGGGTCTCGTGCAGGTCGGGTCTCCTGCAGGTCGGGTCTCCTGCAGGTCGGGTCTCCTGTCTGACAAACGATCCTTTAGCGTGTTCTTGCCTAAAGCCACGAGTCTTGAAAAGCCTCCTTTCTCAAGGAGTAAAGTGAAGTGAAACTAAAGGAGTTTCCTTCAGTTTGTAAATCCTGACTTTTCTCTAACGTCACTTCTGAGGTTCTGAGCAGAACATCTGAAAGATTATGAAATCATCTCAGAACATCGGAAAGATTATGAAATCATCTCAGAACATCTGGTCAGCATGAACACAATGATGAAACCAACATCTGTTCTACGCACCGACACGAGGTTTTACTGAAAACTTCAGTCCTGAACCAGTCTAATCTGGCACCGGGTCAAAGACAGAACTCACCCATGATGAGGAACTCAACTACTGCAGGATCATGGACGAAGGGACCGGATCAGAACTTCAACCAAACCTCTGCTCTGGACTCTGACCACGGCAGGTACATGTCAACAGCCGAAGGAAATCAGCCGATTCTGGTCTAACCAGCTGAAAGCCTCAATTTCCAGCCTGCGGGGAAGCAGGTGAGATTCTTTGAACTCCACCTCCTCTGGTTCTGACTCAGACTCCGGGCCTGCCTCAACATGAGCCCAAACTACTGCAGCATCTTGGACCCATCAGCGCCGATAAATCTGGGTCAAACAGAACCAGGAGGAGGAAATAAGACATGCATGGTTCTCAGCTACTCGAGTACTGCAGCACTTCCAGGTATTGCAGTAAAAACATGAAGCTCTGATCTGGATCAGAACCGAGCTGCTGGTACCAGTCTGCACAGGCGGGACAGAACACAGAACCGTGCACGTCCTGATCACGCCTCGCCTCCTCATTGTTTGCCTCAAAGGAACCAAACTGCTTTGTCATCTTTAAAAAAGGTCTTTAGCAACAATTCTTGTTTTTTTAAGTGTGTGGGTTTCGGCTGATTTCCAAGTCGGCTGATCTTTGTTGACTCTGCTGTCAGCACGGTGGTGGCGAGCTGATGGTCTGGGACCTGGACACCTTGACCCTGTTGGGTCAACAAACTGGTTCTGCTGCTGAGACCAAAACACTTTCAGACAAAAAACAAACAACTTTAGGTTTTTATTTTTCTGACAAACCAAGAGTCCAAACGATTCAACTGGACTCATCAGAACCAACTGAAACCTCAGGAGAGAAACAGTTTTTACATTTTAACAATTAGACGGTTACAACCCGAGACTACGTCTATAATCTTTACAACAAACAGAAGGTGCTGAAAGCTGAAGTCATTTGTGTGATGGATGTCACGAGCGCCGCGCCTCCCTCAGCGCACGAGCTTCAGAACGCCCCGGGACACGAAGAACCAACGAGAAAGATCTCACATCAACGTCAAATCAAAGAAAAGCTCCAACAGGTGAGAAAAGACACTTCTGTGACAGAACCGTCCTCAGAGTAAAACCAGGACACGCAAGGACTGGAGGAGACCTCAGACCAGTTCTCTGGTTCTGTTGGGTCAGAAACGAAGTTTTCATCGGGAGGAACGCAGGATGGACTCGCAGCAGCGTTTCCAGTCGTTTCTCTTTGGAAACAGAAATATTTTGGTTAGACGTGCAGGCAGACTGACCTTGCAGCAGGAGGTGGACGTTGTCGATGTCCAAAGGGATGGACCTCCTCTCCCCCAGACCATCACTGGAGCAGAACCCCGACGACATCTTTCCTTTCAGCAGGCTCCCCGCAGCATGGCACCACTCTGAAAGAGAAAGATGTTTAAACTCATGATGTTCTCGCACCACGAGAAACTGCTGTAACTTCCTGTGTGTGAACATCTGGAGAGACAGACTGTGGGACAGAGTCCACCCAGACTGGACCGCTCGTGTCCAGCGCCAGAAGACATCTGCTCAGCTTCCCATTAAAGACAATGGCCCAAATTAAACTCATTTCCTCCAACAGGAGGAGATCCTAATCTTTGTTTCCCTCTGGACATGAAGCTGTAGAAGCGTTGTGTTTTGGACTCGGGAGGACCACAGTTTAGAAACGCTTCAGGCAGATTGAAGCCAGGAACGTTTCATTAAGATAAAAGCCAACAGCCTGAGAGGACCAGAAGAAAATACAAATGAAAAGAAGCTGCCTTTCCTGTGAGCCACAGCTGCTACAAAATGGATGGAGGCAAGCACTACAGCTGAGAAGATCCAGGACTGTTGGGCAGCTAGAACCATCCATCAAACCAGGAAAACAACATTCAGTTCAAAACCTCTAGCAAATGGTCTCCCCAAGACCTCCAAAACCTCCAACAGCTGGTCTCCCCAAGACCTCCAAACCCTCCAACAGCTGGTCTCTTCAGGACCTCCAAACCCTCCTAACAGCTGGTCTCTTCAGGACCTCCAAACCCTCCAACAGCTGGTCTCTTCAGGACCTCAAAAACCTCCAACAACTGGTCTCATGTCCTCAAAAGCCTCCAACAACTGGTCTCATGTCCTCAAAAGCCTCCAACAACTGGTCTCATGTCCTCAAAAGCCTCCAACAACTGGTCTCATGTCCTCAAAAGCCAACAACTGGTCTCATGTCCTCAAAAACCTCCAACAACTGGTCTCA